TGAAGCTGAACTCTACCCAAAATGTGTTTTAACTACTAAATTATATAGGGTTTTACCTCCTCCAGGTCTTTAATGTTGTCTGAGTGAAGACCTGGTGAGGATATTACTTTTTTCTTTCTTTCTCCACCCAAAATTTTATAAAAAGGCCTTGGTTTTATTTCTACCTTTTGTACCGTGTGCTAGTGCTAGTTGTTTGTGATTTAAAGTAAAGTAAAACCAGATTCAAAAACATGACTTTATGTAGTACTATCGGTAAAACCTTTTGACCAGAAGTTCCCTATGTAGTTCCTTACTACTTTCAGTTTGACTTGGTTTTCCTACCAATGCTAGTCATGTATCGACGACAACAACATTTACAGGTCTATTCACCAATGTGGGAAGAGTTTGTTCACTTCTCCTGCCTTCTCCAATCTAGGATAACATCTGAACTGGAAAGTGAGCTGAATTGGAGAATGTTTCTAAATCAGCTATGTTGTCCTAGATTGTTCACTTCTCCGGCCTTCTCCAAACTCTTCACCCTTTTGTGAATAGACCTGTTAATATCTGGTGGCTGTGGTACCAAATAAATGCAGAAAATAATACCCTCTTAAAGTGATGTTAATGTCAAAATGATTTTAAGCTATTTCAAATGCTGATGAAATAACTTGCAATGGATGCTGCTTCTTGATCAAAAGTTTGTTTCCTGCAGCATCAGCTGGTCCCTGAGCACTGGACTTCCTGTTTTAGAGTGACTGCTTTGTCAAGCAGAGTGCTATGCAGTCACCCTTGTGTGTGCTAGTAAGCTGTGTGTGTCTCCAAAGACACAGCAAATCAAGCTAATTTCCCCCCCCCCCCTTACCCCTCTCCTCTCTGCTCCAAGCTAGTAGATGAACAGTTGCTGGAGTCTACTCTGCCCCTTGTGATCTTGTACTGGACAGGAAGTTGAGGGAAGCTAAGCTCAGAGACTTGGGAGCAGCTATTCAGAAACATGATGATTTGTAAGTATTTGGGCAAAAATGTAAAGCAATACTTTGTTGGGCAAGATATATTTGTTTGATCTGGATTCATTATTGGAAAAAAAATTGAGAGATTAACCCCTTCGTGACGGGAGACGTACAGTGTACGTCCCGTCACAAAGTGGCTATATGACTGGCCACGTACACTGTACGTGCCGAGTTATATTAGCCTCTGTAATGCTGGTAACTGCTGATTCTCAGCAGTTCCAGTCATTAATTAATGCCTCACTATTGAGACATTCATTAATGAAATAGTTAAGCTTTTTTAAAAGCGTCTTTCTTTCATTAATGAAAGAATGAAGCCTTTACAATCAGATACGGGTTCGCTAAATAGCGATCCCGTATCTGACAGCTGAAGATAGCAGAGAGGTAGCAGTGACTCACCTCTCTGCTATTCGTTTTGACAGCTGGAGAGCCTGGCCCGATGTTAAATGATACATTTCAACCACTAGATACAAAATGTATCTCGAGTGAAATGTATCATTTCTGATCGTCTAGGAACGATCAAAGACCTTTAGTGAGATCTGATTCTGACATGCTGTCAGGATCAGTCTCTAAAGTTATTATTAGCTGTTCCTAAGCTTGGAGCAGCCTGATAATAACTAAAAATTTTAAAAAGTTAATTTATTAAGCAGTCATAGTGATTGCTTGATATAAACTGACAAAAAAAAAAAATTTTTTTTTTTTTTACACTTATTTTTTTTACAAAGTGTAAAAAAAAAAAAAAGTGTACAAAAAATTAGGAAAATAAAACGTTTATATATAAATATATTTGTATACTATAATTATTATTAAAAAAATTCTAAAAATAATAATAATAATCAAAACTTGCTGCTGTGGAAGAATCACACAGCAAAAATGTAAAAAGTGTGTCAGTCATTTAGGAACAGAAACTAAAAACTAGCTCAGTCATGAAGGGGTTAATGTTACTTTAGGTTGATAGTTTAGTTTAAGATTAGTGTTGCTTATTAAAAACATGTAAATACTTGACATGGGGTTCTCTGAGCACTATAGGAACCTAAACAGTAAGCCTAGAAGTAGCAGCCTAGCTTGAGGCACTGCTTTGTCTGATTGAAACCTCAGAGGGAGCCAATGGACGTGTCTGGGTTTGGCGGTTGCCAGGAGAACGGTACTTGCCTGACTGCATTGTGCTAGAAGTGCAATGCAGCCATGCCACTGCTAAAAAAAAAATACTACTGCAAATTGATGAAGCACTGCAGTCTGCTTTGCAAAGGTGCATTGCATTCCACTGGCTTCAATATTCTACATGAAAGAAAATAAATGTTAACAGAGTTTTCTGACCAGACATTTTGTTATGTGACCCGTTTTAAAATGGTAATGAATGCATATCTAACAAATGTACATTACCCAGCAAAGTATTTCTTTACATTCTTGCCCAATCACTTTTGGTCAATATGTTGAACAGCTCCAACTCTCTGTCCGACTTCCCTGAACCTCCGGTGAAGTACAAGATCACAAGGGACAGAGCCATCTCCAGCAGCTACTCATCTACTAGCTTGGAAAGGGGAGGAGGGGAGTGGTTTGCCTTGCTGAGTCTGTGTTTGTGGAGACACACACAGGGGTGGCTCCATAGGACCCTGCAAGGGAAAGGAGCCAACCTAAAACAGGGTATTGGGGCCAGTGCTCAGAGACCAGCTAATTCTGCAGGAAAGTAAAACTTTTAAACATCAAGGAGCAGCATCCATTGTAAGTGATTTCATTTGCATTTGAAAAAGCTTAAAAACCTTTTGACTTTATTATTACTTCAAGTCCCATGACACCCTCTCCCCCAATACACTGTGGCTTGCGTGGGTTGCAAAATGTGGACCATGATGTGGGTAACCCTGTGGCTTTGAATAGAGCAGATGGAGATATCTGCTATTATAAATGGACCCCATAGTATTTTACTATATCAGACCATTGCATGTGATATAGGCTAAAGGCTGTGACACACTGCATGCGAAGGCAGCGCGCCAGCATCACCCCCAGCATCACCTTAAAGTGTACCTGTCACCACCATCTGCTATCACATGGGGGGCTTGTAAGTCCCCCTTTGTGATAGCAATTAAAGTAAAAAAATAAAAAGCATAACCGTTTTTAAAATTAACATTACATAAAATAATGAAGAAAATGTTTTAATGTCCCCGCGTGTCGCCACGTAAACACGCGTCTGGTGCGCCTACATATGAAAACGACGAACGTGCTACACATGTTTGGTATCGCTGCACACGTCGGAGTGAGAGCAATAATTCTAGGGCCAGTATTTTTGGGTTTTTCTAAATTAATGGCCTGTGGGGGCTTTAAAAGCATCGTCTATGGATTTTTGGGGTACTGAAGTTTGTCACCATTACATGGACGCACACAATTACCTGGGCATGTTAGGTATCTATTTACTTGTTGTAACCTCTTCTTTTATATTTTATTTTAAAAATTGGTATTTTATTGTGTTTTGGGGCATTTAAGTAAATGTTTCACTAAATTTTGGGGTTTGATAAGGAGTTGCGCTAATATCGTGCAATATAAAAATTTGCAACTGCCACCATTTTATTCTATAGGGTCTCGGCTTTCAGAAAATATATAATGTTGGGGGGTTTTAAGTAAGTTTCAGGCCTAAAATGTGGTATATATAACATGGGTGCAAAAAAATTAAAAAAAGGCCTCAGTCATGACGGGGGTTAAAGAAATAACAAAAATGAATCTGTTTTTTTCTAACCACGTATGAGATTCTACCTAACTTCTATTTTACAGCCTGTTGCTTGTGGAATTGAAGCGTTCGAAAACAAACCAAACTTGGCAGCTTGGAAAAAAAGAGTGGAGGACGCCATTGGAGCCGAGTTGTTCAAAGAAGCACACGAGAATGTGCTGCGTGTGAAGGAGATGCAGAATATGCCCCTCCCCCCGGAGCTTAAGGAGCGACTTAAAGGCAGACTACTGCAGTTCTTGCGCTAATGAAGCTTCAAGAAAATTCAATAATTCCATTTTTTTTATTAAGAGGCATTGTTTGTAGCATCTATTCCTACTAGTTGTTGTGACTTCTAGTTGTCTGCTTTAGTAAAATAATGTTTCTTAAAATGAAAATACAACTTGAAAGCTTCTCTTCTTGAAGTCCGATACAATAAATTGTGTGAGGTTCAGCTTTTTATAAAAAAAGAGTCATATACAGTATATTGTGTAGCAGAATTTTCCTTTGTGTTACTGATCCCGCTGCTGTCGTGGTAAATGCAATTCAAAGTTTACTTACCCCTATGCCGCCAACCAGGGCTTTTGTAGTTTTCCATTCATGATTTCATCCATCTGTGATGATAACATATACTGTATGCTGTTCATTTCACACTTTTTATAGAATGACAAACATTTGTAGCTGTCTCTAATGTAGGGACAGCAAATGTTTTTGGTCTCCATTAGGGATGCACCGATACCACTTTTTTAAGACCGAGTATCGATACTTTTTTTCAAGTACTCAACGATACCAATTACCGATACTTTTTCTTAAAGGGGCAGGTCACATTTTTTCTAAAGCAATACAAAAAAATTATTTTAGGTCAGTTTCTTCATATTATGAAGAACATGAACATGAAATGAATATTTATCATGCCATTGCTAGTTAAGGCTTGTATCCCCATAGTGGGGAAAATAGACGAGCACATGTCCAGAACACAGTAGTGTGGCACAGCTATATCTAATTTTGCATACCTGGCTTTATATTATAAATTAAAAAATGTATAATATAAAATAAAGCCAGGTATGCAGAATTAGATATAACTGTGCCACACTATACAGTGTTCTAGTCTGGACATGTGCTCAGCCTCATCCCTTTTCCCCACTATGGGGATACAAGCCTTAGTTAGAATAGCAATAGCAAGATCGACATATTTTTTTCAGTATTGAATGTCTTTTTTTTATATAGAAAGTTAAATAGCATTACAGCAGGCATATATAATTTTTTTGCCATCCTGTGCCCAGCCCCCACTGTAGTGTGGCACAGCTATATCTAATTCTGCATACCTGGCTGTATATTATACATTAAAAAATTATAATATACAGCCAGGTATGCAGAATTAGATTTAACTGTTCCACACTATACTTCCACACTGTTAACACTCAGTGTTCTGGTCTGGACATGTGCTCAGCCTCATCCATTTTCCCCACTATGGGGATACAAGGCTTAGTTAGAACAGCAATAGCAGTATTGAATGTCTTTTTCCATACATAAAGCAATAGCATTACAGCAGGCAGGCATATATAATATTTTTGCCATCCTGTGACCTGTGCCCAGCCACAGCAGTGCTGCTAACCTTCTTCTCAGTCGTCTCCATCTGCTTCATCCACTCCGTGTCACAGCCTAGTCATCTGCTCCATGCTGGCCTCTTCTCCCGCTGATTGGCCGATTGGATGATTGACAGGCTTCCCCACCAGTCAGGAGTGAGGACTGAGGAATTGAAGGCGGAGTGTGCTTTCGGTCGTTTGCCTGTGAAGGAGGAGTTCGCGGCCATCTTGCTTGAATGCAGACGCGGTCCTGTGTGCGGCGGTCGAAGATGGCGGACACAGGTACTCGTTTTAGATATCGGAGTATTTGTACGAGTACTCATGCAAATACTCGTCTCCATATTAACAGTACTGACCACCTGATTCACAACCACATTACCATATGCACAGTTAAAAATAGGCAACATCGGCAAGGCTGTAGCGAGGGCGAGGCGACTGAGGCCCTTGTCTCGGGCACAGGTTCAGGGGGGGTTGTTTGGCGGGAGGTGGTCGCAGCCAGCATGGAGAAGTGGGACTTCTCTGGATCCCCACTGCTCTCCCCCAGATCCGCGGAGAAGTGAAGCGCCGTTGGGGTCAGAGAGAGCTGGCTGAGTGGTGAGGAGAGAGAGAACCCCGCTCGGCCAGGATCTGACAGCCGACGGTTCTCTCTCTCCTCATCGCTCGGCCATGCTGTGACAGCGGTTACCTCCTCCAAGACCCAAACCCCCCCCCCCCCCCCCCCCTCGCTGGCTGCAGCGCTGCACTTCTTGGTGCTGGAGGAGAGCTTTACATCACTTCCTGTTCATTCATGCGTTTCTGAATGGCACTCAGTACAGAGGCTTCTCCCCATTCAGATTGATAGTAAATATTTTCCGAATGAATGGCCGCTGTCGTATTCAGGAAAGGAATAAATGTATGCCCGAATATCGTTTTAGTACATTCGGGCATATATTACATTCGTTATTTCAGATTCGGACGAGCCACCGACCTGATTTTCGTTGATTTGCAGGTTCGTCCGAATCCCAAAGCACATGTCTAATTGTCAAGTCATATGCATTGGGAGTAAGGAGGCGGTCTTCCCAACGTTGGTTGGTAGAACGCTGGTGGCCCCAAGACGGCTAGTGTCCTGGCAACCAATAAAAGTAGGCTGGCATGCAGGTATGAGTAGGCACCTCTAGGTGTATTGTGACAGACTATAGATCAGATCCTGTATTATGTGTCTCTATACACTGTGTACACAAAGCATCCTCCTTTCAAAACAAGCAGATTGCAGACGTTTGCCTTTGTGATAGTTACAAAATATGTGGTCCCCTTTTCTTTTAGAGGAGATGTAAGCAAGCTAAGATATGATACGTTCTTACATAGCAAGAAGTTCTAACAAGACACTTATTATCATTATGTCCATATGGTATGGTTCCATGTAAGTAACATGACTGACAGAACAGTATCTGCTTAGTCATTGCACCACAAGCGTACATCTCTTATCTCCCATGAAGTGGGGAAGTGGTGGTGATAGATACACGCAAAGGTGTTTACATTTTACATGCTTGTCCGGCTGTAAAGAGCCATGTTTCGTTTGAGGATTTATAAGAGATGAAGGTTGTATGTACCTTGCAGTGTAGCATAGGAGAGGCTGATTAGAAATCATAAGACATCATCTTGGTCTGGTAAGTATTAAAGCAGGCCTCCATCCAATCCTGTATTCTATCTGGTTGGGAGTAGGCTTTATGCAAAGGTTTAGAAATGGGTTATAGTAACTCTGGAGACCATGAGGCACCTCCATTAATCACAACTACTTGCTATTCAATGGTATGTGGTGGTATGTTCCACACTGTGTCAATAGATGAAAGTAGTCACTCGCACTCCATGATATTAAAGTCAATGCTGTTTATTGACTGAGATAACACACATCTCCTTAGCGACGTTTCGAGACCATGCGGTCCCGTCCTCAGGCAAACTCTCTGTTTGCCTGAGGACGGGAC